AGTGAAATCCTCATAATTGTGCTTTCTGTTCCTGTCATAGATGATGTCAAATCATTACGGGCTCTCGTCAACCCTGAAGTATCCAGGTGAGTAATTTAATTGCATTCTGCATCTGCATTAAAAAGTACCCGGCAGATTCTGCTGTGTTCTTAGAGTCCCATCAATTCGTGTGTCTACAGAATCCGAAACATCGGCATCATGGCCCACATTGATGCAGGCAAGACGACAACCACAGAGAGGATGCTTTACTACGCCGGTTACACAAGGGCATTGGGAGGTGTGCAGGAAAACAGCATGCAGCAGTGATGCAAATTCTTAATTATCCAAACCTGACTCTGATTCTTTTTTTAAAATGTTTTTTTTAAACAATTTGATTTCATGTCACTGTTGTTTTTAGATGTTGACGATGGGGATACAGTGACAGATTTTATGGCCCAAGAGCGAGAGCGTGGCATCACCATACAGTCAGCAGCAGTAACCTTTGACTGGAAAAGTCATAGAATAAATCTCATAGACACACCAGGTAAGAATAAAGAAATAAGGCAATTTCTTGTAGAAATTTAAAAAATGACTGAATGACTGCGTCACTACAGGACACGTTGACTTCACGCTTGAGGTGGAGCGGGCACTTCGTGTGCTTGATGGGGCTGTGGCGGTGTTTGACGCGTCGGCTGGCGTTGAGGTTATTTCCCCTTTTGCAAACACCTTCTTTTTTTCATTAAAAAATTGGTTTCAGGCTCTGATCATTGTGGGGGGTTTTTTTCCTTTGAAAACGCCAACAGGCTCAGACTCTGACCGTGTGGAGACAAGCAGAGAAGCACCACATCCCCTGTGTTTGTTTCCTCAATAAGATGGACAAGCCTGCAGCGAAGTGAGGGACTCAGTTTAAGTTTTCCCATTTAATGGAAGTTTTGTTTTACTTTTCTGTTGCAGTGTTAAAATAGAGACCCTTTCATTTTGTTTTCTTTCAGCTTGAGTTTCTGCATTGAGAGCATAAGGCAGAAATTGAAAGCCAATCCAGTCCTCTTGCAGGTAGGTCATCAGAAATTTTTAACAGCTCTTTACGTTCCTGAAAAGTTTTTCTGTTTTATTTTGCCAATTTTATTTACACATAGTTTTGAGTGTCCAGCCTCAACTGACATCTACACATCAGCAGCTATTTAAATACATACATACATACATACATACATACATACATACATACATACATACATACATACATACATTACATTTCACAGTTTAAACACTGCACCAGTGTGCATGTAAGCCTAGGATATTAAATGTGATCCTAAACTTGGCTAGCACAAAAACAGGTTTAAAACAAAATGTACTTACTGGATGAACTGAACAGAGTGTCTTTTAGTACAACAATACAACACAGCAGCGATATTTCAGTCTATAAACCCCTATGTCATAGATTCCTGTTGGCAGTGGAAAGAACTTCACAGGTGTTGTTGACTTGTTAACCAGTCAGAAGCTGATGTGGAAGATGAAATCTATGAGAGATGATGGCAGAGTGTTTGAAGTCAAAGCTCTTGACCGGTCTGATGATCCAGACCTCCTGCAGGTGGTCAGCGATGCAAGGACAGCTTTAATTGAGCAGGTACACGATCAGATTGGAGTAACGTTTTCCAGCATTACTTAAGGTGCCTCCGATTTTTTTCTTCCAGTTTACACGTCTTTTCTCAAATCACAGGTCGCTGATCTGGACGATGAGTTTGCAGAACTGTTGCTAACTGATTTTAGCGAGAATTTCGATGCCATTCCCTCTAATAAAGTAAGTCTTGCGAATTGTAGTGCCCCAATATGACCTTTTAAGGTACATCAGTGCTGCTGTTAGTTCTTGTGAATATAGACTTATCAGTGTCGAACACGTCTCCAGCTTCAAGAAGCCGTGCGGCGAGTTACTCTGGCCCGTAAAGGTGTACCGGTCCTCTGTGGGAGCTCTTTGAGAAACAAAGGTGTTCAGCCTCTTTTAGATGCCATCACTGCCTACCTGCCTGCTCCTAATGAACGACACCATGATGTGGTGTAAGTGAACCTTTCATCTTACTGCTAACTTAGACTAGACCTGTTATAACACCAAGTTAAGTATGTTTTTTACCGTTCTTATCATTTTAGATCACATTGCTCTAGTTTAGATCAGATTAGGCTGGAAGGATTGTTTTTTTTTGGTTTTTTTTCAATTTGATATTATTAATTGTAACTGAAACGATTGTTTCTTTATCTGTTGACTAGATTACAACTGAACCTAACTACAGAGAATGCTTGGTGTTGATGCTGTGAATAGCACTGATTATCTCTTCGTCATGGCTTCTGTTAGCTGGTGGGACATATTAGGCAGCAAGTGAACATTTTGCTCTCAGAGTTGATGCGTTAGAAGCAGGAAAAATGGGAGAGCGGACGGCTTTGAGCGAGACTGACAAAGGCAAAATTGTGATGGTTAGACGACTGTGTCAGAGCATCTCCTAAACTGCAGCTCTTGTGGGGTGTTCCCGAGTTGCAGCGGTCAGTAGAAAGGTGAAAGAGAGGTGTCAGAATACACCGTGTGTCCCAGTTTGTTGCATATGGGGATCCGTAATCGCAGACCCGTCAGGTTCTCCATGCTCACCTCTGTCAACCTCTGAAAGGGCCAACAATGGTCATGTTAGCATCAGGAATGGTTGACTTGGCCTCCAAATTCTGAAAATTCAATCGAGCGGCTGTGGGATGTGCTGGACAAACAAGACTGATACACGGAGGCCCTTAAGCCCTGTTCATTATCATCTCACAGGCGGTGGTACAAAGACGACCTGTGTGCACTGGCCTTCAAGGTTCTCCACGACAAGCAGCGCGGCCCTCTGGTGTTTCTGAGGATCTACTCTGGTACTCTGAAACCACAGATGGCGCTCCACAACATCAACAGGAACAGCACGTATGCAGTTTCGAACCTCTGATCTCCACAGCAGCTGCAGTGTAACACACTTTCACAGACGTACTCCATCACAGAGTCATTATTACAACACAGCATGTCCAATCTTGTATATTTGCAGTGAGAGGATGAGCAGGCTGCTGGTGCCATTTGCTGACCAGCATGTAGAAATCCCTTCGATGACAGCGGGAAATATTGCTCTTACTGTGGGACTCAAGCAGGTAGAGCTTCTCTAAATTTCCAATATTTGCTTAAATTAAGATCCCCCCACCATCAAATGTTCCTTATGGTTTCTCCTTTCATTTAAGACAGTTACAGGAGACACTATTGTGTCATCGAAGGCGTCAGCAGCAGCCGCGGCCCGTCGAGCCCAAAATGACAGCGAGGCGGGAAAGAGGAGCAGAGAGTGTGCCAGCGTGATCCTGTCAGGAGTGGAGGTCCCTGATCCCGTCTTCTTCTGCACCATAGAACCGCCATCTATGTCCAAACAGGCCGGTCAGTTATTTGAGGCGATTATGTGCAAAGTGTGTAGCTGTGCTTCACCAACTGTGCTCACTCACTTATTAATTTTTTTTTTTTTTTACCATGAAAGATCTTGAAAATGTGCTCAACTGCCTCCAAAGAGAAGACCCCAGTCTCAAAGTCCGAGTTGATCCAGACTCTGGTCAGGTAATGCATCGGATTAGCCGGGACTTTCTTTGTCCAGTGCTAGAATGAGTCACCGAAACCACCTTCGCTCTCCGTTCTCAGACCATTTTATGCGGAATGGGAGAGCTGCACATCGAGATCATCCACGATCGAATCAGAAGAGAGCACGGCATTGAGACTCACCTCGGGCCGCTGCAGGTTGCTTACAGAGAGACAATTCTCCACGAGGCTTCGGCTTCAGGTACAAACACTTTTCACTTGTTACATTTGGAGGAACAGTTTTCGTCAGCTTCGCGCAGCAGCCGTCAAATTCTTTTTATGAATTTGGTGCAGACACGCTGGACCGGACAGTAGGGGAGAGAAGACATGTCGTAACAGTGGAGCTGGCTGTCAGGCCTGTGGATGTCGCCTCAGTGGGTGGTTCATGCGAACTGGCTTTCACAGAAGAATTAGAGGGACAGCTTTCAGCAGAAATGAAAGAGGCAGTGGAGAATGGAGTGCACAGCTCATTTCTTCAAGGTAAATGGACCAAACTCATTTTTTCCCTCTTTCAGGGAAACACACAAAGCACTGGAACGTCCCTTATTTTAGTTAAATATTTTTTTAATTATATGCTGTATATTTATTACAATTTCCCCCCCTTAATTGCAATAACTCCTTCATTCAGGGCCACTGCTAGGTTACCCATTGCAGAGTGTGTCTACACTGATGCAGCGTGTTACCATAGAACCTGGGACTTCACCTGCCATGGTGTCTGCCTGCGTGTCTCGCTGCATGCTGAAGGTAAAAGCATTATTGATAAGCTCTAATTGGTTAGTGCTGGAACTATAAGGCTGAGCCGTGGTTCCATTTCTTTGGATGCAGGCCCTGCGGCTCGCGGGCGGACAGGTCCTCGAGCCAGTCATGTCGTTAGAAGTGACTGTCGGCGATGACCACCTCAGCTCGGTGCTGGGAGACTTGGCTCAAAGACGAGGAACGGTCAGAGACATCCAGAGCCGTCATGACAACAAGGTGCTCTTAGCAACCGTGCCCCTGGCTGAGATGATGGTGAGAGGACACTCAAACGTTAACAGATTGCTTTTTTGGAGGGTTTAATTTGCTAGTGAGAATTATTTCTGATTTAAAAATTTGTGTCCACGTAAAGGGTTATTCCACCGTTCTACGAACACTGACATCTGGCAACGCCACATTCTCCCTGGAGCTGGATACCTACGAGGCCATGAACCCTCAGGAGCAGAACACACTCCTCAAAAGACTCTCTGGCCTGCTGTGATCCCAGTTCAGTAATGTGACCAGAAGCCTTCTCAAACAGAGAGATGATTTTTTTTCCTCCCCCTCAGACAATAATAGTCTGGATCAAATATTTATTCTGTGAATATCTACAGCTGGTTAACAGAGACAAGAAGTTGTGTATGATGTTCTAAAATAAACGTGAAACCAGTCACTTTAAATCCTTGGTTTTTATTTTGTAAACAACCAGAAAAACTCTTCTGAACTTTTAACTTTTTATTGACAATGAATTCTAGAAACATTCATAAAAAAAGTGCAATCATAACAGTAACACCCTCGACATTAAATGTGATTTAAAAGTTCTGTGGAGCAAATCTAAAAAAAGGACGATGCGTTTCAGAGCTCATCGGTACAGTGATCTAGGAAGTTCAGCATTTTAGTTTCATATAGTTGAAGAATAGTCAAAAGAATATGAATTTCTTCCCTTTCCATTTCATTTGCTGGGTCCGGTCTTCGTTTTCAGACACCCTTGTACTCATGTGGACAGTAGCTGGAAAACAGCGGCTCAGCTGGGATGCCGCGCCTAATGTAGGACAAAATTATTTAGTAGTGGAACAACACCTTAATGCAAAATACCTAAATGAATCTCCTCTTAACAGAAAGGCACCTGCTAACTGATAAAATTAGCAGGTAGATACAAATTAGTGGTACAAAGGCTCCTCTGATACTTACTCTACCATACGGCAGCGGTGCAGCGACAGTCTGTTGAAGGCATCGCCGATGTCGGTCACGTCTTTGGCGCTCCACAGCCGCTCTGCCACAGCACTGGCACGAGGCCTGGAAGTAATAACAAGAAGCAGAAGTTTTGGTTGTCTGGAGTATTCAGGTTAACTCAATGAGGGAGGAAAGCAATCAGCAGTGATCTTAGAGAAGCAATTGTTGCTGCCCATCAATTTGGGAGGGCTTATATGGACATTTTGAAAGTCTCACATCAGAAAAAGACTGAACAAGTATGGGTTTGTTTGGAAGACTTGCCAGGAGAAAGCCTCTCCTCTAAAACATGGCAGCACAGATTAGGTTTCGGGGATAATATCCTTTGAACAGATGAGACTAAAACAGAAGTCTTTGGCCAAATTGGTGGAAATCGAACACAGCATTGGCACAAACACCTCGTAACAACTGCCAAGCACAGTGGTGGAGGGGTGATGATTCAGGTTGTACCGAGTCAACCATGAACTCCTCTGAATACTAAAGTATTGTAGAAGCAAATGTGAGATTTCAGAAAATTCAGAAAACCTATAACAGAATGGCTGAAAGAGAAAAAAGTAATGCTGTATTGGCACAGTCAAAGTCCAGACCACGCTCTCGACCTCAAACCTGATTGAAATATACTCCACAGCATTAGATAAATACTTCAAGAGAGCTGTGTTCATGCAAATAGCTCTCAAAGGTTCCTGAAAACCTCAATAAATTGAACATTGTAAACCAGAGGTCTCCAACCTTTTTTGCGCCATGGACCGGTTTATGCCCGACAATATTTTCACGGACCGGCCTTTAAGGTGTCGCGGATAAATACAACAAAATAAAACTAGTACCGGTACCGAAAAAAAAAGATTTATTCATAACACACGTGAAAAGACCCAGGAAAACAGAGTTAACGATAAAAACGATAACAAAATAACGCTGAAAACCGATAAAAACCCTGAAAACCATACATTTCACACCTGAGCCTCAACTCTCGCGGCCCAGTAGCAAACGACTCACAGACCGGTACCGGTCCGAGGCCCAGGAGTTGGGGACCGCGGTTGTAAACAATAGAGGGCCAAAATTCCTCCACAATGTTGTGAGAGAAAACAATTACTGAATGATAAAGTGCACCTCGTTTTCTATACACTGCTTCTGCATTTTTGCTTAGTTATTGAATAAAAGAGTGTAATATGTCATGTGTTGTTGAGCTCAGGTAGCATTTACCTCATTTAGAACTGAATAATATGCATATTGTCTGTTAATCGCCTATTAAAATGCACCTATATCAGGCTTACCAAAGTCTGGGTGTGAGGTTTGTGGCGTCCACATACTCTCCCCACAAGCAGGCCTCTCCACCAATCACCAGCTTTTTCTGCTCATCAGTTCCTGTTTTAAAATTTAGCATTTGATCGGGTCAGGGAAATTCAACAATGACACATTCGAAAAACTGAAAAGGGACAAGTGATGAATAAAATAATTTAATAATTTAAATTATATATTCTCCCGAATGACAGTAAAATATTAATTTATTGTTCTGCTCGTTACTGAACAGGCTTACACCAATTTACACAGGAGTGACCTTCCTGAAACTTGAGATCTAGGCCAAAAGTTGACTACAGTGTGACCCTGACAACAACAAAGCAATAAAATATTATCACATGAACGTGGTCAAGTTCTGACAGGTTGTAAATATGAATCGGAAATGACCTTTAAAAAAAAAAAAAAAAAAAAAAAAATATATATAAATAAATATATATATATATATATATATATGAATCATTAATGCAGACACAAACCCTTAAAGTCCTGTGGGTCGGCCTTGTAAAAACCCTGCCAGTCCTGCCCGTAGGAGATACGGTTCAGGTACCAGGGAGTGGACAGCAGGGTCTGGTACCCTGATGCAGTAACGCTTGCCATCTCATTCTGGTATTGTTCCTGGTTTCCCTTCCAAACGTGGATTAGTGTGTCTGCTTTCAGCTACACAGCACACACATACACAGACATCTCAGTAATGAGAACATAAGAGAAAAGTACGGAGAGGAACTAGGACAAAAGCTTTTTCTAGCTTTATAGAGAACCAGTCATGCACAAATGTACCCAACATTGTTTACTCATGACTTCCTTCTCATTTTTTTCAGTATCATTTCAAATATGCGATTGGTCCCCCATAGTGGTGAAAACAGCAGCACATTAAAAGGAACAACATCTGAAACCACCAACCACAATGCCCCATGTTCAGTCTGTTGGCCTTTTGTCACAACTGTGCAATTTTCAAGTGTACAAGTGTAAGCCTGTTGGAAGTAACAAAAAAATTGAGTTCATATCAATATATATTCAAAATATGACCAATTCTTGTTTAAAACTGACCTTCAAAGTTGAGTGGTTCAACTTTGTAGTACTTCTGCCAATCCTGCCCGTAGCTAATATAATCTAGGTACCATGGAGCAGAGAGGATGGTGGTGTAGCCTGCTGCCGTGACATTGCTCATCTCCTTATCACTTCCGCCACCAATCCACACATGCACTACCGTGTCAGGCTTTAGCTGGAATGGTTACAAATCAAACTCGTGCACTTGAGTTAAATCGTTACATGAAGGTTGACTGTGACTAAAGAAATGATTAGAGGACATGACTGGTGTAACATCGTTTTGCTTTGTTGTCAAGAGTTAGATGAGAATCTCAAGACTAATTTCATGTCTGTCTCTAAGTTAGCATAAAAAGCTAGTAAGCTAAGCTTACTACAAAGTCTTGAAATGGGTAAATTGCTGTTACGGCCTACATCATAAAATCCCAAAGTCTAATAAGCAGACTTTAAATCTTTTAAGCCATTGACTCTCAAACTTTAGTAGCCAGGACCCCATACAGGCAAGACAAGCTTCTTAATGATGCAAATTGAGCTAGTTTGGACTTAGCATCATTTCACAGTATTGATTATTTGAATATTTCTCTATGATTGTCAGCTAGCTAATATTAACAAGCTTCCTGAGAAAAGTGACTAATTTCATGACAGTTTAACACAATTATACAGTACTGTGCAGAAGTCTGGAGTCACCTTTCCTTTCAGGCTCATGAGAAATATATATATGTATCATGGTAACTATAGCCCCAGTAACCGGCTACTAGTGCGAGCCTATAATTTAGCATTTAGACAATTGAGTATTTATCCAACTTTCAGCAAGAAAGTAAAAAAAGCATAATTTTTCCAATTAGTCCTTCACTAACTAAATGAAAAACTTCAAATTAAATCAAAGTTAAATTGATGATAAAGCATTCAACATTCAAATTGATTTAGCTAATGTTTCAAGAACTTACCTTAACACCATTGTCAAAGACCTCCTGCCAGATCAGGTAGCCCTTCTTGGTAGAGGTCACAATATCCAAGAGTCTGTTGGATCAAGAAAGCATCAAAGGAAACTTTTTTTTTTTTTTTCATTTCAACTATTAAATAACAAACAGAGGTTTGGTGGGAAACACACTTTTGGATGTAGAATGATTCCAGTTTTCTGTAGTCGTCTCCAAAATGTTGCTGCTCCATGAACTTCTGAATGTCTGGGTTGGACTTCCTGCAGGACAAAGCCAGCAGCTAATATCTGTTGCCTGACCTCTGAGGCGAAAAGTAATTTTTCTGACTATGCGTGCACAGTCTCACCAGCATGTGAAGTCCACCTCATCACCTCCCAGGTGAACGTAGCCATCGGGGAACACGGTGCTGATCTCCGTGAAGAACTGAGCCATGAAGTCGTACGTGGTGTTCAGGATGGGATTCACTGGCCCGAAAGAGCCAGAGGGTTTGGACCCAGAGTAACAGGGTGTGAGAAGATCTTTTTGGCCTGATGGGAAATGATAGAGTAAAGATCAAGACATCTTCAAAAACAAAAAAAAATTGTTAAAACTAAAAAGTTGTCTAAAAACCTCACCTTTGCCCCAAGACTGTGTGTGTCCTGGAGTGTCAAACTCCGGTATGACGCGAATGCCTCTTAGACGAGCAAACTCGATTACCATCTTCACATCGGCTGGTGTATACACGTGGGTGTATGGGTGGTAAGCTCCCTGCGAACAGTGGATCACAGCACTCTTAATAAAAAGCACCCTGCTCCTCTCTGGTGAAGTTTAAAACCAACAAACTTTGTACCGACTTGCTCGCTGAGCTGTGGGAAGGTTCGGCTTAAGTAAGGGAAGGACTGATCATCAACAATGTGCCAGTGGAAAACATTGAATTTGTTCATTGCCATTGTTTCCTGTATGAATGAACCAGGAGAGAAAGTAATTTAGAAAGTCTGTTAAATGATTGAAAGGTAAAAAAAAAATTTTTTTAATGGTTTTACTCGCACCAAATTGGCCAAAATGACTTTAATGGGAAGGAAGTGCCGAGAGCTGTCCAGTAAGATGCCTCTGTGTTGAAACCTGGGGAAGTCATTGATTATTGTTGCATTGATACTTTTCTGAAAAAGATGCAAAGTTGGGGGACAAAAATTCAATTCAAATCTAGCTCACAAAAAGTTCTTTAAGGATTAACATGGTAGAAACAAAAAACAGAACCAGCCAAATGTCTTCAACTTACAGCTCCATATTCATCTTCAAACACCAACTGGCTAAAGGTTTCCAGGCCTAGAAAAAAATATAGCAATCCAAAATAAACACATGATACAGTTCTTGGAAAACATTACACACCCATAAAACTAAATGTAATCTGAAAACAGCAAAGGATAATATGACCAAAGTTCAACAACAACAAGTCATGTTGAGGTGTGTCCTGTGTAAAAGCTCTTTGGCATTAACATCAGCACAAAAACTGCACTAGGAACTTCGTGGTCTGGGTTTCCAAGGCTGAGCAGCACCTGTAGGTGGCCCAGTACTTTTGGACAAAGAGTCTATGAAGCTACAACTATAGTTAGCTTAGCATTAAAGCTATAAACAGGAAGCTGTGGCACGTCTACCAATTGGAAGGTTGTGGTTTGATCCCGGCTCCTTCAGCTTACATGTTCCCAGTGTGTTCATAGGATTTTGAGTGTGTGTAGGATGTGTAGGACTTTGGGTGAGTGCAGTAAAAAGCACTTTGAGGGCTCAATTAGAGCAGAAAAGCACCATACAAGTATGAGTCCATTTAGCATTTGCAAACACGGAAGACCTGAGCAGACTATTACTGTACACAAATAAATGAGGTGCAACATGATCATTTATAAGCTTGAGAGCTGCTGGATGACTTTGTTCACCCCGTTTCTAGCTAATCAGGGCCTTGATTTGATAGCTATCATCTCGTCTCTCAGCCAGTAATCGAATAAGGAAATTTCTCAAAAAACAAACAAGATAAACAAAAACTATTCATATGAGCTATTTAATTTAAAAAAAAAAAAAGACAAAGAAATCTTTATAGAATTTCTTGTTTTCTTACTACTAAACAGAAAAGGGGAAATAAGAAATTATTTGACAAAGAAAATAAATGCTGTAAATCCTACCGTGCAGAGCTCCCCAGACCTTAGGTGCCTTCAGGACAGCAACTGGCTGATTCACTGTCAGTTCATCTGTAAGAAACCACCACCTGTTTACTGCATATTCAGCGTGTCAAAACTTGGCCGATTGTTGTAGAGGTGTTCAGGTCAGGGTATGGAAATGGTCAAGTCACGGCCTTAAGGAAGGATTTGAACATTTGGTGTAGATTAAGGTTAGGGTTAATTCTAGTATTTGATCTCCAGGTGATCACTAATTCCACTGCAAAGTCTTCAGTGTGACCACGGAAACCAGCCAAAAATGCTCTAGTGCACTGAAATTACCCTGCATTTCCAATGTAAATAAATGTATCATCAATGAAATATTAGTCAGAGCATTCACAGAAAAATGAATGTTATAACTTTCTTTGAATGAAAACAATTTCATTTGTAAATCAAATAAAATGCAAGTTGGTGGTACTAAAGTCAATACTGACGTTTTGTAAGAAGTCACATGTCAAAAATGTAATTAAACTCTGTAATTTAATGAAATTTTAATCTCTTTAAAACATCACAATATAAACCTGTTTTTTTTCTTCATTTCAGTCTGATTTCTAAATGTACTTCTAAGTTAGGTGTTAAAGTCTAAGAAAACAGGACAGAAACCACAAGCAAGAGTAGATAAATATCATGCTCATCATGCAGAGGCAGATAACAGTTTGCAATATTCATTTCTGCATAATCACAGATGGACGAAGTGTTAAGATCATTTATATACGCTTGTGAAAACGACCTTGTCTACAGGACTACGCAGTCCTGTTAAAAACTACGTACACCCCTTGATTCAGCAGCAGAATGCCTCAAACTATTGTTTGCTTATTGTAGTATTGTACTGTTGTAGTGTTCTCTGTATGACTGGAATAGTCTCTCGTTGGTGTAGAGGCATTTTGGCCCAAAAGCCATGGCTGACAGTTGGTATGAGGTATTTGTGCTGATTAACTGCGTTCGAAATTTGGAGTTGTAAATTATGACCAAACATCACCCCTTGGGCATTGTTCCAGAAGTGTTGTGATTCATTCTTATGCACATAAAAAAAAAAAAAACATAAAAAACCTCTCTAAACAACCCATTTGGAGAGGCTGTTTGTAATTGTACTATCATGGATTTTAACCTTTAACATGCTAACTGAGGCCTGTAGTGTCTGAAATGCTTTTGCTCTGACCTTGGGGTGAATTTCCTGGGATGTTAAATGCCCAAACTTGTGCCTTTAGAGAGGTGCCCACAGTGGCCAATGATCAATTAATCAAGCTGGCACCTGGCTGCCACTTAACCTTTTAATTCCTATGGGAGCTGTAAGCGTGTACTTAGTTTTTCCACATGGTTGCATAGTATGAAAATTTGTTTTCAGGTGGCAATAGTTACAATCAAGTTAGGAACACTTCATACATAATCAATATAAAACAGCTGTACAAATTTGCTCCATATTTTCATTCATTCGGTTTCACTTTCATTGCACATCTTTTTCGTTTGGTTTGCTTTGTAAAATCAGAAAGTGGGAAGTACCCTGAAAAGCTGGAACATACATGTAATAGAGTAAAAAGTACACAATTTCCCCTCTGTGACGCAAGGCAGTTTAGTAACAGTAGTTACAGCTTGTTACATGGAATAGCTGAGGAAGAGGCGCCTGATTGGATACCGCCGTAAAACATGACATGAACGAGGAAGGGAAGGTACTCACATGACTCGTCAGAAGTCACACTGGGGTATCCGTCACATTCAGAGTCAGGTGATGTGATCCACACCTGCAGCTCGGACAGATCAGAGGGATCTGATCGCCTGTTGTTTTTGCTCCACCACTGCTTTTTAGCGCTGCCGAACATGTACTCATAATACCTGCAGAGAGAGACCGCACGAGGGTGGAAACTGGCCCCTGAACGCAACACGGGCTGCGGTGTTGAGATTTCGCCACATATATAAATAATGTGCAGCGATTTAAATAAATAAATATAAAAACAGCTTATAAACACAGCTGCTCACCTCCTGTATGCGCTCTGTAGGAGACTGCAGCTCGGTCCAGCGGACGATGCTTTGGCATCAACAATCCTGAAGCTGCTACTGGTTAACTTGAATGAAACCTCTGAAATCTGCACTTTCTGCGGCAGAGGCCACAGGGAGCCGTACTTTGACGCCTCGAAAACGGGCTCGGCCTCAACATAGTCGTCGATGTTGTTGTGCTGCAGGCCCTGGCAGAAACTAAGGGCCAGCAATAGCGACACGAACTTCAGCATTACTGTTTTGTTGACAAGTTACAGTCAAGTCACAAGACCTTGCGACAGCAGCACTTTTATTTTGCGAGAGGGGGCGGGACTTCCATGCGGAAGTCAAATTTAACAGAAATTTAAAGAGAAACCACAAACCTGCCTACTCTCTTGAAAAGTACAATGTATCGTATATTTACTCACCCAAATCATCGAGTCGGGTCCAGTATGAATGAAATGTTATTGAAGTAAGCTGATTTACTAATGCTAAACTATTACAAAGTACGCAGAACAATCAGCATGAAGCTTGGTGAGAAAATGATAGCTGTTTGTGTGATTATTCAGAAATGGAAGACATACAAAATGACAATGAATCACCTTTGGTGTGGAGCTCCATGCAAGATCTTGCTTCATGTGGTGAAGATCATCATGAGAAAGGTGGGGGATCAGCCCAAAATTACAAGGGAGGAGTTTGTTAATGATCTGAACAATCACAGAGAACACCATTGGTAACTCAGTAAGGACTGAATGGATGTAATCGATTGAAATCCTGCAGTGATCATATGGTCCCTGTACATGAAGACAGGTGTACAGGCCCATCTTAAGTTTGCCAATGATCATTAAATGATTCAGTGAAGGATTGTGAGGAAACGCTGTGGTCACTCGACCCGCCATGTTTAGAGGAAGAGAAATGCTGAGTATAATCTAAAGAACACCCTTCCCACAGTCAAGCATGGAGGTAGAAGCATCATGCTTTTGGGTTGTTTTTCTAATAAGGATACAGGATGACTTCACCATTCAGCCAGAACACTGAAGCTGGATCACGGATATGTCTTCCAGCACGACGGTGACCCAAAACATGTCATAAAATCAACAAAGGATCGGCTAAAGAAGAAGCACATTGATGTTATCAGTTTAGTTTCCAGAAGATTCTAGTTTATTCTGCCACAATAGGCAGGCCGTCATGGCAGCTGCGTTTTTAATAGTTTCTCTGCTTTTACTTTTGTATTGTGTAAGTCAAAAGCACACTACATTATTGTGACATCAGGTTTCTGACTTGGCCTTTTAACAATATTCCGTTTTTTTCTTTCTTTGACTTAAAAAGAAGGTTTTTTCACACTATGTTTTGGGATAGCACCTAAATGTACAGTATGCTTTGCATCACAAACCTACCTTTCTGTTTAAAAAGAAAGACACCAAACTTTGACCAGTATGTAAATTATACCTTATTATTCTATTATCTAGATTATGTGAATGTGTTTACAGCCTAAAGTGAAGTGTGTGAATTTACATACAACTTGCCATCGGGTATATTTGCTTACTCATTTCTAACTGACGTGCTTGGCCGCTAAAGTTAGTGCTAAACAAGAACAACAGGTTTTACTGTGTATCTTTGACAGCCCACATGACAGGGTAATCTAAAAAACCGTAACATAACTAGCTCTTTGCATGCTTATTCGTCCATTAATTACTTTTAAACACAAGAACCCCAAACTGAAAGAATAATATGCAGATTGGAGCATTTATTTAACTCACAAATGATAAAAATATAGGCAGACACTTTGGGTAAAACAGTATTTGCATTGTCATTTGGTCATTTTAACTCATCACTGATGCTTCCTTTCAACATCTACTAACCACAGTGTTATTCAGCTGTGTGAGGCCAATGTTTTTTTGTTTCTCATGTCATATAAAGTATTTTATGCCATTGGATTGATGGCTTTGCTCCTAAATATGGCACATCATTTTGTTATCTATATATGAATCGACAAATAACAGTATGATCCCTGCTTTAAAGAAAAACTACAATTAGAATAGACAAATAAATCTACCAAACACCACATGGACTTGATCAATACACTATGTAGTTGAATATCTACCACTTGTAACCACTTGTATAATGGCATACCAATAATTAGAGGTATGCCATCATACAACATAGCATACCACTTTATCTATCCATGAAGCCAGATAGGACACAACAATTAGTTAAACTGCAGTTGTCTTAAAGACATAAACACCATGGATGGCCTCTAATTTTCTGCTTCTAAATTCACATAAAACTGAGGTTATTGTACTCAGCCCTAAAAATTGTAGAAATATGGTATTTAACCGGATACTTATTCTGGATGGCATTACGGTGGCCTCCAGTAACACTGTGAGGAACCTTGGCGTCATTTTTGACCAGGACATGTTCTTTAATGGACATATTAAACAAATATGTGGTACTGCTTTTTTGTATTACCGTTATATCTTTGAAATTATGAATATCCCGTCTCAGGATGACGCTGAAAAACTAGTTCATGCATTTATTGCTTCTAGGCTGGACTATTGTAATTCATTATTATCAGGATGTCCGAAAAACTCCATGAAAAGCCTTCAGTTGATCCAAAATCAAGAGTACTGGCAGGGACTAGAAAGAGAAAGCATATTTTGCCTATATTGGCTTCCCTTCATTGGCTCCCTGTTAAATCCAGAATCAAATTCAAAATCCTGCTCCACATATAAAGTCTTGAATAATCAGGCCCCATCTTATCTGAATGACCTCATAGGGCTGTATCACCTCATTGGGGCACTTTGCTCTCAGACTGCAGGCTTACTTGTGGTTCCTAGAGTATTTAAAAGTAGAACGGGAGTCAGAGCCTTCAGCTTTCAGGGCTCTCTTCTGTGGAACCAGCTTCCAATTTTGTATTAGGGAGACAGACATCCTCTCTACTTTGAAAATGTTAGGGCAGGATCAGGTGAGCCTGAATCCTCCCATAGTTACGCTGCAATAGCTGCTGGGGGATTCCCATGATGCACCTTTTCCACTCACCATGTCTTTATACACCTCTCTGCATTGAATCATTAGTTATTATTAATCTCTCACAGCAAGAGGATTCTGTGTTGGAATCCGCTGGAGTACCAGGAGTTCTCTCCAGGTCCTCCAGTTTCCATCCATGCTACCATATGTGTGCAGGGTGTACCCACCTTTCACTCTATGGCATCTGGGACAGGCTCCACCTTGAAGCTTCATGTAAAGTAGTATTACCTAATGGTGATTTGTTAGTGTATGTATTATCAACTTATAGAAAGTACAGTAAAGGGATATCACGTTAGCTTGGACCTCTGACCTCTTCTTCAAGGTCATACAAGGTCAAATTTTCATAAAAGTGTTGAGAATGAGCTGCTTAGTTAGGAATATACTGTAATATAAAGTTATTCAGTTATCCATTGTCTACTCCTATATAATGTTTGTATAATAAAGAAAACATATGTCATGCCATGCTACATTTACCTGATTTTTACTGCACTACAAACTTCTTACAAGTGAGCAAAGAAACAATACAAAAACCTGTTTGTCTGCTAGTCTGCTGTTGACAATAATTAATTATTTGACAATAATAATTATTGGCAAATATATTAAATTGTCATTATTTGGCGACAATTATGCTGCCAAATAAAGTAGCATGCTGCACATAACAGGCCTACTTGCATGACTTTGCCCACTAGGTGTCTCTCTTGCCATACACAAAGTCCATGTTAGAGCGCAAAGACGTTTCTCTTCAACACTTTTCAGAGTGTACTTCCCTGGTGAACAGTATGCTGCGTTATCCTCAGCATAAACCGATTGTTCGGTTTTCATCAACAGTCGATGGGAAAGGGAACTGGGCGTGAGTTCTCAACAGCTCTGTGGCCACCACACTGCACATCAAAAACAAACAAACCAAACAGCAACATCACAGCCTCGAGGATCCTCTGAAGAGTTTAGTCACAGCCAAATGCACCGTCAACGAGCACCGCAGATGTGACTCACACAAGATGCTCACAGATAAAATTGGACTTCCCGTTCCCAGCTCTCCCCCCTTTTACTAAAAACCACAGAGACCTTTGTAATCCTATAGGACCTGACACTGGCTCAATGTGACTCAGTCAGACTTTGTGGCATTTCCTATATGTTATTGTTTCACAATGTCTTGGAGTGGCTGTTTATAGTCTTGAGTCCACAAAGCACAACACCGGAACAATACCTTTAATTTTCTCTTGACTCTTCTGTCACAATGCTGGGTGGATCCTGTTTGGTCTTCTGAGGAACCACTAAACCATTACGTGGACTGCTGCGACGCAGATCCTGCACACTGTATCAGAATTTTACTAAAGCATTTGCCTTTCAAACCAAGTTAAGCACCGCTCCTATCCACGCAGCCTGCTTAGTAGTTACTTTGTAGAAAGATTTAGAGACATATATATATATATATACAGATACGTTAATCATATTAATGATTACGTTAATCATGCATTAGACTCCTCTAATGCATACTTTATTAAGAGTCTGAACGGTCAGAAAGTCCTTAAAAAAGAAAAAAGAAAACTTTAACTGAACTCATCTTTAGCGATTACTTGGTAATTATCTTACACAGTGGGATGGTATGGTACATGTTCTCTTTCCTTCGCTCGGTTTCGGACACACCCACTTGTTTCAGTGAGAGAGAAGTGGGAGCGCAGGAGAAGGAGGAGGACACATAGGATTCAGTCACACAGCAGCAGCAGCTTTAGAGGAGCTCATCCAAACATCTCCGCTCATCCTTCACATCACAGCTACCATCTATTGATACCCGGCTGCCCAGAGGTCCATTGAAGCCTCGGTAAACTACCTGTAACTCACAATCGGCGTGGATCTCGACTTAGTATTCCGTGACCTTTCGGATATAAATCCCACGGAGTTGCACTCCCCGAGCGTAAGGCTTGCATCGTGGCTCTTGTAGAAGTGGCATGTTCGAGGGAAACTCCGGGCACAATTGAACTCCTGCTTTCACCCAAAGAGGTAAAACAAAACAAAGCATAATAATAATACTGATTATAATAATGATGATACTAATAATGCTAAACCACCTCACTGCATCATGTTAAAGCGTGTGGCTCGATTGTTACATAGTAACTACGAATGCATCCCCCTTCTGCTCCAGGATGGAGCATTAGGAAGCGCAACAATGTTTACATTCGCTGATCACGTTCAGGTTCATTTTATTGATTTATTGATTTATCGATAGCTGATCTCCCCTCGGTCGTCTGCGTTCATGTCCTCAGCTGTTTCCTTGCACATTCGTGCATGCTGGGGAT